TAAACTGGAAATCAAAAGATTTCTATATTTTAGAATTTTAGGGATCAGTGTATCGTGTCTTCAAATATTTGCAGAAGGCCCTCTTTCTGAGTGCACAAGTCAGACTCAGATCAATTTACCCTTGGTCGAAAACAAAACCAACCAGCCAAACAAAACCTCCAAACCAAACTCCAATATTGCTTTTATTAGGCCCTGAATATTAGATTGCAATTTTAACCTTATGGTGTGTGGGCTCAGGTAACCCTATTGGTTTCCTCTGTTATATTTAATTAATGTTGCCTGAGAGGCAGATTATATGCCCTGTTTTATGCCAGGCAGGGGAGCATTCCCCAGTGAGACATGTTTGTATATCCCCACAGTATAATCAGGTAAAAGAGATATAACCATCTTACATAAAGCCTGTTCAAATATACCACTTTTTAGTATGTTACTGAGTCCAAGTTTAGTCTGCTTGCTGCACAACAGGCCAATCATCTGAGAGATGAGGTGCAGACTAAGAAGATGGCAGACTAATGTCTCAAAATAACCATCTTATCAGGGTCTGGATGCCTGGTTCTTTTATAGAACAGAGATGGGGGAGGTGAGGAAGTAAAGTGAAAAGGTCATTAATCTTGCAAATATCTCCTGGAATTGCCAGCCTTGGGGAGAGGATATGTTAATTTTTTCCTTCCTGTAGCCATCCACAGGTGGACAGGGTCCTGAACAAGGGCACTTTGGTCTAACATTCAGGCAGAGGGGCAGGGTTCCCCAAGGCAGGCCATTATTGTGGAGGGTATCCTTTTAGTGAACAAAAGCAATGGGAAGCAAAGTTTAAAGTAAAAGAAACAGATCTGGACTTCTCTGTTGGTACAGTGGATAAGAATCTGCCTGCCAATGCAGGGGACATGGGTTCAATCCTTGTTCTGGGAAGATTCCACATGATGCAGAGCATTGAAGCTTGCACCACAGCTAATGAGCCCAGCTCTAGGACCTGAAAGCCACAACTACTAGTCTATGTGCTGCAACTACCTACTGCAGCCCACGCACCTAAGTCTGTGTGCCACAACAAGAGAAGCTGCTGCAATGAGAAAACTGTGCATCATAATGAAGAGTAGCCCTTACTGGCTGCACTAGAGAAAGCCCAGGCTCATAATGAAGACCCAGTGCAGCCAAAAAAAAAAGATACAAATCTTAATATATATATATATATATATATATATATATGTATATATATATAAAGAAACAGATCCAACATGGAGGCAGATTTTGTTCTTCCCCGTAACAAAAAAACTTTCATCTCAATTCTATCAACTATTAATATTTTACCTTTAATCATAGCCCTTGTAAGGATCCTGTTAACACGTCTTGGTCTTATAAGGAGTCCCAGAAATTTTCCTTTTTATTCCCTGGCCATTTTACCCAGTTCTGTCTCCAGTTGGGGGTTGAGCCAAGGGACCCAGGGTTTTTTGTCAGTCTTTATTGGATTGTTTGACATATTGCCCTGAGCAATTGCTGGTGAATTTTTCTACTGTCTTGCTTTTAAAATTTTCCTACACTGGGGTAAATAGAGTGGATTTGTTTGGGTCTCTTTAACATTTAAGGGAACTGATAAGGGGTCTTTTGGGCCTGTCCAAAACATCTTTTTTGGTAGTGTTGTATCAAAATCTTTGATTTCGTGCCATCAAAGTCTGTTTCATTTATCATACCTCTTAATAGCCATCTAAAGATTTTCATCCTATTGGGACCAGTTCCTTTAAAATTTCTACTTTGTAGGAAGAACTCATTTGACTTTCCCCTTAGCTTTTAACTACTTCCTTGTTAATTAACCTAATTAACTTTAGTTATTCTTTTGTTTTTATTAGCATATGTAAGAGCCATTGAGGGGAAGCTGAGACCACAAAACTCTGGAATTAATTTCTGTTGGTTGGTTGATTGATTTGAAACCAAAGAAGTTCTTAAGTTTAGCCACCATTATATATCTGTGTATCCACCCTTTAGTTTGATTTTTCCATAGGGACCCGGTAAACAACTGTTTTCAATGAGAGGTCTCTAAAAATTTACCAATTTAGCAGGTTTCCCAGTTTAAAGGATCCATTGTTAGAATTCTTAGTTATGATTTAAACCAATAAGAGGCAAGAGGAATCCCCGCAAGAGAGTGCAAAGGATGCAACCTTCTCAAGAACCAGGAAGTTTACTCCCAAATATAGTCTAAGAAAGTAAAGGCCTTTCTTGTACAAGGAGACACAAGGAGGGTTGAAACGACAAAGACCCTTTATGAACTGGGACCCCTAATGACACATTTACCTAATGCTAGTGTAGCTGGACAAAAAGACTCTGGGAATCACAGTCTGTGCAACTTGCTGCCAACCATACACCATGTGTACCTTCACGATTAGAGAGACTAAGCTTTCAAAGTACACTGGAAGATGCCTAAGAAGATAAGGTAGAACTTTTATATCTCAAAGATACAGGGAGATGATGCAAGTTCTTCCTAGAAGGACTTTTGTTTCCTTAAGGTCAGAATTGGAAAACAAAACTTTTTTTGGCCAAAGTAATCACAATTTTACCAAGCCTTCTGAATCATTCAGTCTGTTTGATCTTATAACCCATTCCTCTAGCTGTGTACACAAAAAACCCCCTAATTTTGAATGTCAAAGAACCCTTTTTTGACCATTTTTAGGATGAGATCTCCTTTGGTATAGTTTCCCCAATTAAGTAAGCATTTGCAAGTATAAACTCCACATGTAATTACAAATGTAATATACCTGAACCTGCCTGTAGTGTCAGTCTTAGGTTGTCAATCTGTCACCCCTCTTTCTTTTGTTTATAAAGCTTTGTTTCCCATTTCACAGTATGTTTGTCAGGATAAATTTCTTTTGACAAGTGCCTGTGGTGGGCCCTTCCGCTGTTTGTGAGCTTAACTCTCCTCGTCGTCACCCTGTAGTCATTTCGGGTCTTTGATATGTCTCGGTTTCTTCTGACAGTCTGAGAACACTGTGGGCATTGGGAACACAGGTTGGCCAAGCCTTTTGTGTGTGTCCCTGGATGAGCAAGTTTCTTTAAAAAGTGGGATTCCTTATGGGATTACTGTGTGATATGAGGACTTGCCTCCCCTCACTCCTGCAAGTTTCTCAACTGCCTGAAAAAGCCTTGCTTGGCCAGGAGGAGCTCTGTCCCTTATCTGTGGAGCTAAGAGATCTCATGTGGTATCTACACTATATTCCAACCAACTCTGGTAAATTAGCCAGTTCAAGGAAGGACACGAACCAGTCCCTGACCTACGCACCCAACCTGAACCTTCCCAGTGTCTCAGCTGGGTACTTTCTCAGCATCTCTAAAATGAGATGACAGGATGCTTTTTCATGTACCACTAAAGAAAACTCAGGATTGTCAACCAAGATGGTAAACCTGAGATCATGAGAGATTCACCTTAATTCATATGATCACGGACAGAGGTGGACCGACACAAGGGGCCTTGCTAGTACCAAGGCTCCAGCTCCTTTAAGGTTCTAATACCAGTAAGAGGTCTCATTTGGACTCCTTTGTGGTCACTATAACTGTCCACTGGAAACAAAGCCCACACAATGTAAGAGCAGTGAGTTTCCCTTTTATTTGGAGACGTGTATGCTAGGAGACACCCTCTCAGATATCTCTGGGAAACTGCTTTCAGGAGGTGGAGGAGGAGGTCTGGGAAATAGGAGTAATCAATTATACATCTTGGTAAAGATTACTGCTAATCACCAAAAGCTAGGGATCTCAAGTTACTGATTTTAGTGCTTTACTCGCATAGAAAACTATACAAACCTAGGTCGATTAGAGTGCTTCTTTAGATGCATCTTAACTATCTAGGGACTATGTATCCAAAAGAGAGAATGTTTCATCTGTTTTTTTCCCATCCTGAATTCCCCTGCGGGCACACTGTTGGTGGGCAACTGCCAGGAGTGGTCACTTAACTGTATAAGGGGATGATGAGTGAGTCTCCTTGTTTTTTTTTTGCCAGCTGTGAGGAAGGGGGTGCAGCAGAGAGACCTCAGAATTGAGAGGGCGAGCAAGCAGGCTGCATTCTAGCCATATTACTTATGTTCAGCATGAGCATGAGGGAACTGCTTATCCTCTGTGTGCCTCAGTTTCCCTTCTGATAAATGGTCTCAGTAGAACCCATCTTGCAGGGTCATTTAGGGATTCTGAACCTATGTCATCATCTCTAGCAACAAGCGCTGGGTGGAGTCTCCATATGTCATGTTTTATCAAGATATCACTTGAATTACAAATAATTGGAAGAGTTAACTTTCCAGAGTTGGGGATACCAGGAGGATGGTCTTTTGTCCCAATATTTGACTCCACATGGAAGGGCTGTATCTAGGTTCCAAACTTAGGGAGAACTGCATGAACCGTAGTGGAGCAGCAGACCTGAAGCCTGATCTTTTTCCCACCCTCAGGGCCTGAAGAAGATCTCTGCCTACATGCAGTCCAGCCGCTTCCTCCCAGGCCCTCTGTTCCTGAAGCTTGCCGTGTGGGGCAACAAGTAGTGCCTGCAACCAGGAGATGGGCGTGAGGAGCCAGGGCCCCGGAGACCAGGCGGACCTTCCTGCACACAGAACCTTCTGTCTTTTTCTTTCTCCTTCTGTTCACTCTAGATGGCTGTTTGGCCCCCTTATCTCCCTCCCACCACCCTTTTCATCCATCCTTTAATTCAGTTTCCCACTTTTTTTTTTTTTCATTTTTTTTTTTTCACAAAGGTCCTCCCTGACCCCACATTATCCCTCCTGCACTAAAGCCACCCAGACTGTCCTTCCCTTCCACGGTTGCTTCTGCTGTGAGGAGCCCAGCCAGATTCCTGGCCCATGGAGCTCTGCTCTGAGCTCCCAGCACTGCCCTGAAGACCAGACCTGGCCTGGTGTGCAGTCCGTGCTTCCCAGTGTGGTTCCTGCCCAGCCTGTCTGGTCCCCAGTAAAGCCTTATCACACCTGACCTGCTGTGTCTTGTCATTTCCTCCTGGCTTCCTGGAGTCATGACCGACGATGTTGGTGTGTGGTGCTGTCCATTTTCCCTTCTGTTGTGCTCTGCAGGGCTGCATGGATGGGCGTGTGTGTGTGTGTGTGTGTGTGTGGTGGGAGGTTGGGCACAGGTGGGATTATACTGTTGCTTGTTCATTTCTATCTCCACTTCATCCACCTCTGTTTCTTAGCATGAGGTCTCTACCGAAGGGGGGTCCTTCTGTGCCTGGTTTCCTCTTTAATTCAGCATTTATGGGATGCCTCCTTTCAGCTTGTAGTACTCTGTGTCATGGTTCAGGGGGCTCTTGGGTGCTGGTTAAGGGATCTGAGTAGTCTACTGACGGGTGTGGGATCCTGGTGTATTCGCTTCTGTCACCTTCTCCTGGAAGTTTTCTCTGTTTTAGATACCCTTCATCTGTGTTCTTACAACATATCTCAATAAAATTTGCCGCCACTGTATTATAATCATTGTTTTACTTGTTTTCTCTCTAACTTGGTCATAAAGACATTGAGGAAAGAATCCATTTCTTATTCAACTTTATATCTCACATCCATTATACTGCCTCACACACAGTATATGGTCAATAACAGTTGGAAACGTGAAAGAAGTATCTCTAGTTAAAACCCTGGGAAATTCTCAGACTAAATTTTATGGATTTAGAGCTCTGCATGTAGGTACCTAGCTTCCAGGTGGTACTAGTAAAGAACCCACCTGCCAATGCAGGAAATGTAAGAGATGCAGGGTTCGATCCTTGGGTCAGGAAGATCTGCCAGAGGAGGGCATGGCAACCCACTTCAGTATCTTTGCCTGGAGAATCCCATGAACAGAGGAGCCTAGCAGGCTACAGTCCATGGGATCACAAAGAGTCAGACTCAACTGAAGCGACTCAGCACTATAGTTTCCTGAGCCACTTAAGATAACGAATCAACATCAGAAGTTTTGAAATCTATATGTCTAGGGGAAAGCCATTAGGTCTCACTAACTTAAGCATTTAGTGGGCTGTAGCTGGCCCTTGGATAACTTGACCTGAAATGAGTCGGGCTAGCGTGCTGGACCAAAGTGTAGCCACTCTGTGCAGTCAGGAGGGAGAGTGCCATTTTAGGTAAAGTGTAGGCCTCATCAGATAACAATATGATTAGCAGGTCCTTCGAAGAGTGGCTAGATGGTGGAGTTGGGTTTGTTATAGCATGGCCTCAAGTCTTGACTTGGCTTCAAGTCATAGGCCTCAGGTGCTTTGGAGAAGAGTCCTGTTGGGTATTTGTCTGAGTGGTCATTTCTTGCAGTTATTAAGCAAAAAATATTAAGCAAAAGTAGGAATAATGTGAAGTAAATGATTTTTAAAATAAATAAATGATTATTTCAAAAAGTAAAACTGCTAACATAAAAAAGTCCAGTAAACTAATGGTTAATGAAACTTATAAGTCAGTAAATATTTTTGGTTTTGCAGGCCAGATGGTCTCCACCATCACAATTGTTCACCTTTATTACTATAGTGTGAAGCAAGCCATGGGACATACATAAATGTATGGATGGGGCTGTATTTCAACAGAACTTAAAAAACAGATGAACTTATTTCTCTGACTCCAAATTTAAATGCTCAAATTAAAAGGTGGGAGGTAGGGTTAAGAGAGAGGGGAGATATGTATACCTATGGCTAATTCATGTTGATTATATGACAGAAATCAACAAAATATTATAAAGCAATTATCCTCCAAATAAAAAATAAATAGCTATCTTAAAACTTAAATCTTAGATTCGGATATAAGAGGTGACCATCAAAAAAACCTAAACAACAAAATAATTCTTTTAAAAAATGAGGCAATATGTGATAATGAAGACAGTTGCAAATAAAGTTTGAACACAAAAATAAAGTTTGTGTAAATGTGAAATATTTCTTAATAGCATTTCTTGTTTTCCATACTTTTTATCTTAAACTTGGTTCCTTTTGTAAATTCTTGCAATCCTAGTTTGCATTTTGTTATTCAAAATGTTATAAGCAAGTGGAAAATTTTTGTCTCATATATAATTTGTCAGTATCTTGTCAACGGCTATTTCTACTATCTTATTTTCAGATTAAAAATTGTTCTCTATAACCTAAAGTTACACAGACAACACTTACAAACAAAAAATTAGCACGATGAAGACACATTTAAATTCTACTCTTTGTGTTTATTATACTATTAATCTTGTGTTCTGAGGCTATTTCATATACAAACCCTGTTAATTCACTGAGAGTTCAGAAGGTCAGAAGTAGAACTGGAGGGAATTAAGGAAGACCGTACAGAAGAAAGACCACAGGCTAGACTTCTCAACTGGATACTGGACACTGTATGTTTTGATGTCTTGCACAGTGTTCTCTAAAATATTAGAACCTGTCAGCATTTACAGTCAAGAGAAAGAGCGCATGTAAATCCAGAAGATGTGACCACACTGACACTGAATATCAGCGAGGCAGCTACTGGCTGCATCACGCTCTCCAGCCCCCTGTCCAGTTTCCCGAGTCCCCTGCCCCCAGCGGTGGGACCCCTGGGTCTGGGGGCCCAGTCTGAGAGCCTGCTCAGCCAGTCCTCCTCCTCCTCCTGCAGAATTGACGTCTTCCTCCTGACGGGGCCGCCTGTGCTCGGGGCCCATCCCTGTCCTCAGTTCCTTGTCCTAGCAGACTCTGCCTCTTTCTCCTGCCTTCAACCTCCCTCCCTCTCAGCGCCCCTTGGTGTTTGAACACTGAAAATCTCTTCCATATTTAAAAATTCCTCCCTGTATTTTCCAGACTTCCAGCCTTTATTACCCAGTATGGTCTTACTTATGGTGCTGCTATATGTCAGGATTATAGTGATTGTTTTTTAATAAAGGAAAATGATAAATGGATGAATGAGATTGCATTATGTTACAGCATCTGCTTTGCCTATTTTAAATATTACTATTGTGCTTAACGTAGCTTTGGAAAATCATTTTCTCAGTGAAATCTAGTGCTGCTTCTGTACGTTCAAGATGTAGAAAGGTCAGAATTGTAATTCCTTATTACGTTATGAAATGTGTAACTACTGTGAAGGTCAGCACTTTTGGTGACCAGGGTCTCCATCGCTTCCTTGTGGGCAAAAGGACAAGAGAATCCACTTGACCCTGAGCCACGTCCTGAGTCTGGACCCAGAGCTGAGCCCTGAGGACAGGCAGGGTAGGGATGGCTGGGGCCATCCACAGAGGGACTGTGCTCTGCTGGTCTCTGCTGACACTCTCTCTGCTTCCAAATTTAGCAGAGATGTACAAAGTCTAAGTCTGTGCTTTAACAGGGATTGGAGAAGGAAATGGAAACCCACTCCAGTATTCTTGCCTGGAGAATCCCAGAGACGGAGGAGCCTGGTGGGCTGTCTATGGGGTCGCACAGAGTCAGACACGAGTGAAGCGACTTAGCAGAAGCAGCAGCAGAAAAAGTCTGTCTTCCAAGCCCCACTCCATACTATACCATGGTGGTCTGAATCTTCTTGAAACAGTGGTTCATGACTTTCTATCCTACAAAGTGTTGTGCTGTGCTGTGCTTAGTCATGTTCGACTCTTCGGGACCCCATGGACCATAGCCCTCCAGGCTCCTCTGTCCTTGAGATTTCCTAGAGTGGGTTGCCATTTCCTCCTCTAGGGGATCTTCCGAACCCAGGGATCAAAACCATGGCTCCTGAGTCTCCGTCACTGGCAGGCATATTCTTTACCACTGAGCCACTTGGGAAACTCTGTTTTTAAATATATATTTTTGTAGTGTACTAACTTTGTGTTTTTGGAGAAAGGCATGGCAATCCACTCCAGTAGTCTTGCCTGGAGTATCCCATAGAAAGAGAGCCTGGTGGGCTTATAGTCCATGCAGTTGCAAAGAGTCAGACATGACTGAAGTAACTTAGCATATAGCACATAGCACAACTTTGTGTTTTAACTTACAAAATTTGTTTGTTTTTCAAAGTTCCTCTCATTTGTTTCCTACATCCACTACTTTGTAATATCCTTTCAACAAACAAAAGAAACCACAGCCCACCCACTGTCCTATTCTCCTAATTTTGAAATAACCTTCTGCCTCAAAGAGGAAAGCTGGCAGGTAGAACATTTGCCTTGTGCAGTTTGTACCACAAGTGACAGATCACAGAGTAACTTCAAAGGACTCTGAGCCCACACACTACTATATATAAGACAGATAATCAACGAGGACACACTATACAGTACAGGGAACTCTGGGCGTCCCTAGCGGCTCAGAGGGTAAAGAATCCGCCTGCAATGCAGGAGACCCGGGTTCGATCCCTGGGTTGGGAAGATCCCCTGGAGGAGGGCATGGCAACCCACTCTAGTATTCTTGCCTGGAGAATCCCCATGGACAGAGGAGCCCGGTGGGCTACATACAGTCCATGAGGTCACAAAGAGTCAGACACAACTGAGTGACTAAGCACAGTACAGGGAACTCTCCTCAGGAGTCTGTGATAACCTATATGAGAAGAGAATCTGAAAAAGAGTGAATATATGTTTGTGTATAACTGAGTCACTTTGTTGTACACCTGAAATAAAACAGGATTGTAAATCAAATATACTTCAGTAAAAAAATTTTTTAAAAGCACAGATCACTCTTAAAATCACACTGGGTCAGGAGGCAGGGTGAGGGCTGGGATCTGTGGATCTAGGCAGCCAAGGGTGTCTGGGTCACTCTGACTCTGGTCCTGTGTGGAGTCATCCACCCTTCTCAGGACACCCTCTGGAGCCACCCACTCAGAGGACAGGTCTTCTCCCCTGGGTCACATTCCCACCACAAGCCCAGTCACTGTCCCATCAGTGTGAGAGACACGGAGCTGTCAGGACATCTCTGGAGCTGCACCTGGGTACCCTCTCTGCTGTGCATGAATCTGGATTTTGATTCACAAGTGAGGCCATAAACTACTTGATTAATTTATGTTGTATCTTTATTTTTAGGCACACGAGGAGGGCAAGGCCCTCCACAGTGCCTGAAAGGAAGACATGGAGGCCACATTTCCTTTCTCTGCCTCCTCACCTCTTTCTATCGCACCGATAGTCTGTCTGGAAGACGGCAGCTATCATGGGTTATATTAATAAATCATGGGGGAGCGTTAGGATTGCCTGGGGTTCTCGCTTTCCTGTAACACGGGCTGATTTAATATTATGATTCAGGCTTGTCTCCCAAGGGCACTGGCAACTCCCCCGGTGAGCTGACGTCTAACGGGTCGGGAACCGGGCGAGCCCGGACCTCGGCGGCCTTTGATCTCTAGGCGCTCAGAGATTGGCTCCCAAAGGAATCTGCTGAGACAAGAGCAGACCCTGTTCTGCCGGCCGGGGGCTGAGTCAGGGGCTGGGCTCGGGGCTGGGCTGGGGGCGGGGCCGAGAAGAAGGGCGGGTGCTTCCGGGCCCGCTTTCTCCCGGATTCAGAAGACGTTTCAAGCCTAACTGCAGTGGAGCTTCTGCACTCTGAGCATCATAACCTGCACCATGCCCATGATCCTGGGTTACTGGGACATCCGCGGGGTGAGCGGGGGTCCCCCAGGGCGGGGAAGATGAGGCGGGTGGGGAAATGCTGCGCCACGCTGGGAAAATGCTGCAAAGTTGAGGTCGGTTCAAACCAGAAACTTCCAGAGGACTTGCTGCCGCGGAGCCCCTCTCCCCTCAGCCCGGTCATCTTATCGGGTGTTGGCATGAGTGTGTGTGGCGTGGGTGGGCTGGTGCAGGTGATGGCGCTGAGGGAGTTGGAGGTGTGGAAGTGACCTGGAACAGTGAGAGTTTGCAGTCAAGACTGACGTCTGCCCTCTGTCCCGCCGTCTCTCCCAGCTGGCCCATGCCATCCGCCTTCTCCTGGAGTACACAGACACAAACTATGAGGAGAGACAGTACTCGGTAGGAGATGGTAATGGAATCCTTTTCCTATTCTGACTTCTGCCCTTCTCATGCTGATTTGTTGCCAAGCAACCCATGTTCTGCCCTTGTTGCTCCCATCCTTTAACTCCACCAGCTGGAAAAGGGACTTGCCCCTTCCCAAACCCTTTGGGGGTGCAGCTGTCCCCCAAAGCAGGACATGAGAGCCCCTTGGGCTCCACTTAGTGCTTGCATCAGCTCTCTGTAAGCCTAAACTCAGGGATGTTCCAAATCCTTCTAAGTGTGCTTTCCCCCAAAGCTCCATGTGAGATTAGAACCCATTTCAGAAAAAAAAAAACCATTTCAGAATCCATATCCACCAGTTCAGGGGGTCTTGCCTCTGATTCCTGGAAGGAGGGTTGGATTCCTGGGAGGTTGTTTCACTGCATCTTCTTGTTCTCAGCTCCCGACTATGACAGAAGCCAGTGGCTGAATGAAAAATTCAAGCTGGGCCTGGACTTCCCCAATGTAGGTGCAGGGGCTGGGATGCTGGGAGGGGGAGTTGACAGTGTCTCCATCCATCTCCTTTCCTGGCTTAGAGGTTTCAGGAGCAGGTGCCTTCTGCTCTGTCTCTCAGCTTCCTGGTTCTCTCCTCTGCCCTTCCATGATGCTCTGTGTCCCAGCTCATCCCTCCATTTTACAGCATATTATTTAGTGCCCACCATAGTATTTAGGCTCTGTGAGGGCCAGGTTTCATCTCTGCCCTTGGTCAACGGAGGGGGTACCAGGGAGTCTGGTGGCCCAAATAACCAGACCCTGTTGTTCTTCCAGTTGCCCTACTTAATCGATGGGACTCACAAGCTCACCCAGAGCAACGCCATCCTTCGCTACATTGCTCGCAAGCACAACATGTGTGAGTAGGGCTGGAGTCGGGTTCAGGGACACAGGTGGCCATGCCCTGGGTTGGGCTGGAATGGGATGCTGAGGTTGAGTCTCTGTTGTGTGGCCACAGGTGGGGAAACAGAGGAGGAGATGATTCGTGTGGACATTTTGGAGAACCAAGTTATGGATGTCCGTTTTGCCATGGCCAGGATCTGCTACAGCCCTGACTTTGTGAGTCCTTCCCACTGAGTTGTAGAGGGTTTAAGATGCTTGTCAGGATCTCATCTACTGGTCTTTTAGATTTTGATCTTCTTGGAGCTAGTGATCCACCAAGACATTTCCTTGGAAACTCTGACTCAGTATCCCACTAATGCTAAGAGGAGTCCAGCTCCCCTGGATAGAAATTCAATTCGTAAACAGAATGTTTTCCTCCTTACCACAAAGCCTGCTTCTTGGCATCTCAGGGATCAGGACATGTCCCCAGTGGGCAGCTCAGGGTTAGTCTTTATTCCTCTCCCTCCTTCCTTTCAGCTTCCAGTTGTCTCCAACTGTCCAGAAACTGCTCAGGCACCCACACCATTCCCGTCTCCCACACTGGAACATAGGACTTCTTTCCTAGTCATTTTAGTGTTGATCAGCCTGAGGTCTGAGGACCAAGCTCCACCAGGTCTCACAGCACTGCTGGTCTGACCCAGGGCAGGTGTCTGGAGCTGAGTGGTGTCAGGTCCAGGAACAGTGTGTTTCTGCTCTTTGCCTTCCCATTGCTTCTCACAGATGGGAGGTGGTACCCATAGGAGTCTGGTGAACACAGGTGGGTTAAATTGCCCCTGGGCCCTGACTCATGTACAGTCAAGGGACATGAGTGCTCACCTGACAGCTGGGATCAGACACAGCCCTGGGAGGCCTGCTCTCTGCCAGGGAGTCTGTGTGTGAGGGTGGTGACAGCTGTTTTGTGTCTCAGGAGAAACTGAAGCCTGGTTTCTTGAAGGAGATCCCTGAAAAAATCAAGCTGTTCTCAGAGTTTCTGGGGAAGAGGCCTTGGTTTGCAGGGGACAAGGTAAGTTGGATGGCTTTGGGGGTGGGGTAGCTGTCATTTTTCCCAGGTTCAGAGTTGGGTCGGCATTCATGCTTTGTCTTCCTGCAGCTCACCTATGTGGATTTCCTGGTTTACGATGTCCTTGACATGCACCGCATATTTGAGCCCAAGTGCCTGGATGAATTCCCAAACCTGAAAGACTTCATTGCTCGTTTTGAGGTGATTCCCCTGAACTCCTTAGTATTTACATCTTTCTTCTCTTTCTTATTCTCCCTGATTTCCTAGTTGGAAATATGATGAAGAATAGCATTTATGGAGAACTTGGTTTATGCCAGAATCTCTGCTCAGCAGCTGATATATATTGTGTCAAATTTAATCTTTATATAACATTGCTATTTGATAGAAGAATTATCCTATGCATTTTACAGATAAGGAGTCAACCTGAAAGAACAAGTAGTTTCTGCAGGTCACAGAACCAGTACAAGCTGTGTTGGGCTCCCAGTCAGTGTCTAACTTCCACAGATGGCATCAGCAGCTCCTCATTTCCTGTAGGAAAAAGAGACCTCAGATCCGTTTCATGACTATGTTCACAGCTCTGGAAAGTGTGGAGGAAGCAGAACCTTCAGGAGATGGTATGAAGCTGGCATTCGTAGAGTGAGACAAAGTAGGATTGATAACAAGTAGCAAAAACACAGACAATATTTTCTCCTGATCTCTAAAGGGCTCTGCAGCAATTGAGCCTCCACCTGTTGTTCTGAGATTCTCAGGGCTGTAGTTGGTCCTGGGATTTGGGTACATACAGAGGTGTCCTGTGCAAGGATTTCATCTTGACACCTCTTGTGGTCGGCAGTTCCTTCACTCCTCATCTCCTGTCCCTTCTTCCTTCATGTTAACTCCAGATTCTATCTCAGAGATGCGATAGTGCATTCATTTTAAGTCACGTTCACTGATCTGATCCTCTCCCCTGTATGAGACACTGTGTCAGGCACAGTGGGGTACAGAACTCATGCAGTCCTGGCGCCCAGCCTCTTGGGTTCAGTGCAGCTGGAGAACTACAGGGACCCCAAGCCGTGTGGTGTGGGTGGGGCCACCTTGGTTCTGGAGGAGCACAGCCTGACCTCACCTCTCAGCTCATCATTGTCACCCTCAGTCAACTAATTTGAGAGCAAAGAAGTCTGCTTTGTGATGGATTGGGGAATTTGAGGCTGTAGTCCTAAAGGCTTTCAGCCTGCAATCTGTTTCGTATTCCCACTCCTCATCATGAAATCTGCTTTCTCAGCTAGTTCTCATCAGCTCTGGTTTTGGTCCAAGACTTGTTGCCTTGAGAATTTTGCAAGAGCTGGGATGACTGTCCAGCAGAGAGGATGGGGACAGATGTGGGCTGCAGTGTGTGGCCTGTTGGGCCCTGGGCTGTGGGGCACAGGCAGCCCTAGATTGTGGAGTCCTGGGAACTCTTGGGCACTGTCTGTCTTGGGAAGGTGGTGCTCAGGTACACCTAGTGTTGCTGCCTGGTCGGCTGCAGTGGGACTGGGGATGAGGTATGTTGGGGCCCAGTGAGAGTGGACTCAGGTCCCATGCCAGGCAGTTGGTCTGTGTCCTTTCAGTGGAATAATTAGAGTGTGGCCTGGACTAGTCTTGGTGCTTCACACCCTCCTATCATGTTTCATCCATGTTTTGCTGAGTCATTGGTGAGATGTGGTTCTGCAAGTTGCTCGGGCACTTTCTGAGCACCTTTGCTTTGCTAGGGGCCCATCTGTCTATGCAAACCCTGGGAACTTGGAGCTTTTTCTGAAGAAGAGAATATTTTTGCATAAAGAGAAGAACAAATACTCCTATATGAGATATTGATTGGAAAACAGAACTTAAGAGCAGCAAGTTACAGTTTTATTTGGAGACCTTACTGAGGACTGTAGCCCAAGAGACAGCCTCTCAAAGAGCTCTGAAGATGTAGGGTAGGAGACAGAAGGTATATGAATATTTGACTAGGAAATACATGTAGCCAAGCATGCATCTTGATAAAAGATTAGTGCTAATCCTTGAAACACCAACATCTCAAATTAATGAACTTAGTGCTTTTCTATGTGTAAGAAGATGCATGAATCTTAGGTCACTGTAATTCTTAGTTCGGGATGCATCCTAACTCTCTGTAGGATCCTATGTCCAAAGCATAGAATGTTTAATCCTGGTTTTCTTCATCCCGAGCTCTCCTCAGGGTAGCCTGTTTTTGAGTGACTGCAGTTGGTGGCAGCTTATCCCTTTCTATAACCAATAATGAAGGAAAATCTTCAGGCTTTTTACTCCTCATGGAAAAGAATAAGATTTGTATTCATTCTCATTTTTTCATAGATTTAAAAAAATATGTATTTATTTTTGTCTCAGCTGGGGTCTTTGTTCCTGGGCACAGGTTTCTCTAGTTGCAGCTAGCTGGGGCTAATCTCTAGTGTGGTCATCCGGCTTCTATTGCAGTGGCTCCTCTTGTCATGGAGCATGGGCTCTAGGCGTGCGGACTTCAGTAGTTGCCACTCTGGCTATAGAGCCCTAGCACAGTAGCTGTGGTTCATGGGCCCAGTTGTGCTGGGGCATGTTGAAACTTCCCAGTCCAGGGTCAAACCCATGTCCCCTGCATTGGCAGGCAGATTTTCAACCACTGGACCACTAGGGAAGTCCTTGCACTCATTTTTGACAAACCCTTAAAGAGGCTGTTAAGTATATTGTGAGTGAAGAAGCCTTTCCAACCATTTGAGTTTAAAGAGGCCTCTTTGTTATTTCTTCCCGTTGGTGTCAGGTTCTACCGTATAAAGTTAGTCCTGCTTAGTCTCAGGTCATTGTGAGCTGTGTTTACATTTCTGGCATGTGGAGATTTTTAAAAACATTTATTTGTTTGACTGCATAGTGTGTTAGTTGCATCATGCGGGATCTTTCATTGTGGTACTTGGGCTTTTTCCAGTTGTGGTATGCAGGCTCTAGAGCTCATGGGCTTAGCAGTTGTCATGTGAGCTTCGTTGCCCCCAGGGCATGTGGGATCTTAGTTCCTCGACCAGCAATTGAACCTGAGTCCCTGCATTGGAAGGCAGATTCCTAACCACTGGACCACCAGGGAAGCCCCTTGATATGTGGAGATTTGCAAGACAAACACAGTTGCTTTTAATTCTCTGAAGAACTGGGCTGCCACCCAAATGATGTCAAAAGATTGATTTTCCCAACTACGTTTTCTTTCATTCGCTTTTTTATATCAGTAGGAAAATTTCAACTTCACTGGAAATCAAAAGATTTCTGTATTCTAGAACTATAGGGATCAATGTATCATGTCTTCAAATATTTGCAGAAGGCCATCTTTCTGAGTGTACAAGTCAAACTCAGGCCAATTTATCATAGGAACAAAGATAAAACCAACCAACCAAGCAAACCACCCCCAGACCAAACTCCATTATTGCTTCTATTAGGCCCTGAATATTAGACTGCAATTTTTATCTCATAGTTTGTAGGCTTAGGTAACCCTATTAGTTTCCTTTATTATGTTTAATTAAAATTGTTTGAGAGGCAGATTATATGCCCTGTCTTATGCCAGGCAGGGGAGCATTCCCCAGTGAGACATGTTTGTATATCCCCACAGTATAATCAGGTAAAAGAGATGTAACCATCTTACATAAAGCCTGTTCAAATATACCACTTTTAAATATGTTAGCAAGTCCAAGCTTGGTCTGCTTGCTGCACAACAGGCCAATCATCTGGGAGACAAGGTGTTGAGGGAGGGAATGTGGCTTTATTCAGAAAGCTGGTGGACTGAGAAGATGGCAGGCAAATGTCCCCAAATAACCAACTTATCAGGGTCTGGATGCCCATATGCCTCAGTTTTATAGAACTGAGAGTGGGTTGGTGAGAAAGTAAAGTAAAAAGGCCATTAATCTTGCAAATGTCTTCTGGAATGGCCAGCCTTGTGAAGGGGATATGTTAATTTCTTCTTTCCTGTAGCCATCCATAGGTAGCCAGGGTCTTGAACAAAGGTACTTTGGTTTAACATTCAGGCAGAGAGGGGCAGGGTTCCCCTCTGTAGGCTATTATGTACAGCCAGTTTCCTCTTAGTGAACAAAAGCCATGGGAAGCAATGCTTAAAGTAAAAGAAACAGATCCTACATGGCATCAGATTTTGTTTTTATCTGTAACAAATCTCAGTTCTATCAACTGTTATACCTTTAACTGTAGCCCTTGTCAGGACTCTGTTAACAACTTTTGGTCTTATAAGGAGTCCTAGAAACTTCCCTTTTTATTTCCCAAGCCATTTTATACCCAGTCCTATATAAAAGGTTTTGGGCTCCAGTGATGGGTTGAGCCAAGGGATCCAGGTCTTTTTGTCAGTCTTTAACTGGATTGTTTGGTTTATTGCCCCATGCAATTGCTGGTCAAGTATCTCAGTGTAATTTTTTTACCCTCTTACCTTTAAAATTTTTCTAAACTGGGGTAAGTAGAGTGGACTTGTTTGGGTCCCTTTAATATTTGGGGGACTGATAAAGGGGTCTTTCTGGCCCATCGAAAACATCCTATTTGGTAGTGTTATATCAAAACTTTTGTTTTCATGCCATCAAAGTCTGTTTCATTTATCTCATCTCCTTACAACCGTATAAAGATTTTTATCCTATTGGGACCAGTCCCTTTAAAATTTCCTACTTGTAGGAAGAAATCACTTGATTTTCCTCTCAGCTTTTATCTATTCCCTGGTTTATTAACCTAAGTAACTTTAGTTATTCTATTGTTTTTATTAGCACCTATAAGATCAATTGAGGGGAAGTGTGAGACCACAAATAAGGTTCTATGAACAACTTTTGTTTGTTGGTTGATTGATTTGAAAATAAGGAAGTTCTTAAGGTTAGCAACGATTATATTTCTTTGTATCCATCTTTAATTAATTTTTTTTCAATTTAAACTTAATTTTCTAATGGGATATAGCTGGTTATCAATATTGTGAATATCCACCTTTTAATTTTATCTTTCCATGGGTATCAATAAAACAACTGTTTACAATGAGAGGTCTCTAAAAATTTACCAATTTAGACGTTTTTCCAGCTTAAAAGATCCATTGTTAGAATTCTTAGTTGTGATTCAAACCAGTAAGAGGCAAGAAGAATCCCAAGAGAGTGCAAAGGATGCAGCCTTCTCAAGAACCAGGAAGTTTACTCCCAAATATAGTCTAAGAAAGTAAAGGCCTTTGTTGTACAAGGAGACACAAGGAAGGGTGCAACAACCAAGACCGTTTATGAACTGGGACCCCTAATGACACATTTACCTAATGCTGACATAGCTGGACAAAAAGACTTGGAATCGCAGTCTATGCAGCATGGTATGCTGTGTTCACCATATGTGCTCCTTTACAGTTGCAGAGACTAATCTCTCAAAATGCACTAGAAGATGCCTAAGAAGATGCGGTAGAACACTGATGTCTCAAAGGCATAGGGAGATGAAGCAAGTTCCTTCTATAAGGCCTTTTGTTTCCTCAAGGTCAAAAAAAAAAGTTTTAAAAGCTATTTTTGCCAAAATATTCACAATTTTACCAAGTCATCTGAATTATTGTTGCTTTTGTGGGAATTGATTTTGGTGTTTTAAAAGGAAGTTCAGAGAGAGCTGAATAGCATGAAGGAGAGCATTGCAGAATATACTTAGAGGAGCAGGGAGGAGCAGTAGAGAGCAGGGCCAGCTTCAGGGGCCTTTTAAAAATTCTGATAAAATTTCAAGCAATTTTTTGTTGGTTTTCTGAAAGAAGTTACTTTCTCATTTCCTTTTTTAGAAGCTTCTAAATACAAATGGAAACAGACCTATTCAGTCTGTTGGATCTTATAGTCCATTTCTTTAGCTATGTACATGAAAAAAACCCCAATTTTGTGATGTCAAAGAACCCCGCATTGGTGATTTTTAGGACAAGATCTCCTTTGGTATAGTTTAAGCTTCATATGTAATGTACCCAAACCTGTGGTGTTAATCACTGGTTAGCAACCTGTCACCCCTCTTTCTTTTGCCTAGAAAGTTTGATTTCCCATTTCAGAGTCTGTCTGGACAAATTGCTATTGATAGCTGTATGTAGTGGGCCCTTCTGCTGTTTGTGGCTTAACTCTCCTAGTTGTCACCCTATAGTCCTTTCAGGTTTTATACATGTCTCAGTTTTTCCTTCTGACAGTCTAAAACCACTGTGAGCACTGGAAACACAGGATCGCCAAACCTTTTGTGTGCGTCTCCCAGATGGGCAAGTTTCTTTAAAGAGTGGGTTTCCCTACGGGACTGCTGCATGGTATGAGGACTGGCCTCTACCTCTGCTACAAGTTTCTCAATTGCCTGGGAAAGCCTTGCTTAGCCAGGAGGAGCTCTGTTCCTTATCTGAAGAGCTAAGAGCTCTCCTATAGTATCTATACTATATTCCTACCAACTCTAGTAAAGCGGTCAATTCAAGGAAAGACATTAGCCAACCCCTGATCTATTCATCCTGACCTGTTCTCTCCACTGGGTACTTTCTTAGTATTTCTGAACTGAGAAGTCTGGTGCATTTTCATCTACCACTGAAGAAAACTCAAGATTGTCAACCAAGATGGTAAATCTGAGATCACTAGAGAACTCAGCCAAATTCATATTCATATGTAGAGAAGTAGACCGGCACAGGGGGGCTTGCTGGTACCAATGTTCCTCCTCTTTGTAATGTTCCAGTTGGGGGGAAAGTCTTCTCTGGCCCTGTAGGGGTTGCCAAACCTGTCTACCGGCAAGGAAAGCCCACACAATGGAACAGTGTGGCCCTGAGGGTCACTTAACTATTTGTGTAAGTGGATGATGCGTGAACCTCCTTGATTTCAGCTATGGGGGAGGGGGTGCAGCAGAGAGACTCAGAATGGAGAGGGAGCAGGCTGCATTCTAGCCATGTTAATTATGTGGAGTGTGAGCATGAGGGAGGTGCTTATCTTCTGTGTGCCTCAGTTTCCCTTCTGATAAATAGTCTCAGTAGAACCCATCTTGCAGGGGAGTCATGTAGAGATTCTGAACCTATGTCATCATGTCTAGTAGATATGTGGCACCTAATACAGTGTAGAGTCTCTGTATGTGGTGAGTCTGGATATCAGATGAATTACAGGAAATTGGAAGAGTTAACTTTCCAGAGCTGGGGACCCCAGAAGACTATCTTTTGCCCCAACATTTGACTCCCACATGGAAGGGCTGTACCCCAGGTCCCAAATGTGGGGAGAGCTGCCTGGGTTCCAGTGGGGCAGCAGACCTGAGGCCTGGTGTTCTTTTCCCACCCTCAGGGCCTGAAGAAGATCTCTGCCTACATGCAGTCCAGCCACTTCCTCCCAGGCCCTCTGTTCCTGAAGCTTGCCGTGTGGGGCAACAAGTAGTGCCTGCAACCAGGAGACGGGCGTGAGGAGCCAGGGCCCCGGAGACCAGGCGGACCTTCCTGCACACAGAACCTTCTGTCTTTTTCTTTCTCCTTCTGTTCACTCTAGATGGCTGCTTGGCCCCCTTATCTCCCTCCCACACCCCTTTCCATCCCTATTTTAAAGATTCAGTTTCCCACTATTTTTGAGCAAAGTTCCTCCCCCACCCCACATTATTCCTGCTGCGTTAAAGCCACCCAGACTATTCTTCCCTTCCATGATTACTTCTGCTGTGAGGAGTCCAGCCAGACCCCTGGCCCACGGGGCTCTGCTCTGAGCTCCCAGCACTGCAGGTCTGAAGACCAGACCTGGCCTGGTGTGCAGGCCCTGCTTCCCAGTGTGGTTCCTGCCCAGCCTGTCTGATCCCCAATAAAGCCTTAATCACACCTGCTGTGTCTTGTCTTATTCTCTAGGGGCTTCCTGGAGTCATGACTGACCGTGTTGGGTGTGTAGGGGTATCTATTTTTCCTAGTGTTGTCCACTGCAGGGCCATATGGATGGGCATGCATGTGTGTGTGGTGGGAGATTAGGCACAGGTGGGATTATACTATTGCTTGTTCATTTCTATCTCTACTTCATGTGCCTCTGTTCCTTAGCATTGGTCTGTACAGAAGGGGGGCCCTTCTGTGCCTGGTTCCCTCTTTAATTCAGCATTCATGGGATGCCCGCTTTCAGCTTATATCACTCTGTGTCATGGTTTAGGGGGCTTTCGGGTGCTGGGGAAGGGGTCTGAGTAGTCTACTGATGGTGTGGGATCCTGGTGGACTCATTTCTGTCACCGTTTCCTAGAAGTTTTCCCTGCATTCTTATAACATATCTCAATAAAACCTACCCCCGCTGTATTATAATTGTTGTTTTACCTGTTTTCCTCTGTAACTTGACCATAAAGACACTAAGGAGATAATCAATATCTTATTTGACTTTAAATCTCATATCTATTACGCTGCCTGGCAAACAGCAAATAGTCATTAAAATTGTAAATGTAAAAGAATTATCTCTAGTTAAAACCCTGGCAAACTCTATAGTCATTATATGGATTTACAGATCTGAATATGGTTATAGCCATTTGAGATAAAGAATACATTTCAGAAGATTTAAAATCTGTAGGTCTGGGGGAAAGACATTAGGTCTCACTAACTTAAGCATTTATTAGGTTGTAGCTGGGCCTTGGATAACTTGACCTGAAATGGGCAGATCTAGTGTGCTGGGCCAAAGTGTAGCCTATCTGTGCAATCAGGAGGTGGTGTGCCTTTTTATGTTAGGATACCTGCAAAGTGTAGGACTCATCAGATAACAATATGATTAGCAGGCTCAAAGAGTGGCTGGATGGTGGAGTTGGACCTTGTTATGGCATGGCCTTAAGTCTTGACTTGGCCTGAAGTCTGATAGGCCTTGAGCTTTGGAGAAGAGTCCTGTTGGGTGTTCGTCTAGATGGTCATTTCTTGCAGTCACTGAATAAAAAGGTAGCAAAGGAATAATGTGAAATACAAGATTATTTTAAGAAATAAGAAACAAATGATTATTTAAAAAAGTGAAACTGCTAACAAAAAAGTCCAGTAAACTAAAAGCTAATGAAACTGATAAGTCAGTAAATGTTTTTGTCTTTGCTGGCCATGTGGTCTCCATTTTGGTGTCAAATCATTCCGTGTGGTCTCAGCTGCTCACCTTTGTCTCTGTTGTGTGAAAGCAGCCGTAGACCGTACATGAATGAATGGATGGGTCTGCATGACAACAGAACTTCAAAAACAGATGGACTTATTTTCCTGACTCCAGATTTAGATGCTCAAATTAAAAGGGCATAGCTATATTAGAACTTAAATCTTAGATTCAGATGTAAAAGGTGAGGCTCAAAACAAGGCAATATGTGTTAATGAAGACAGATGAAGTGTAAACACATTTCTTTAAATGTGAAATTTTTCTTCTTAGTATTCCTTGTTTTTCATATGTTTCATCTTGAACTTGGTTCCTTTTCTAAATTCTTGAAACCTTAGTTTACCTCTTCTTATTCAAAATATGATGTCAATGGAAAAATTTTGTCTCATATATAATTTTGTAGTATCTTGTGAGCAGTTCTATTATTTTCAGGTTAAAAAATATTCTTTATATCCTGAATATCCTATGCTTACACAGACAACATTTAAAACCTTAAAAAATTAACAAGATGAAGGACACATTTAAATTCTACTGTATTTACACTATATACTTTTGCATTCTGAGGCTATTTCATATAGAAATTCTGTTAATTTATTTGAGAGTTCAGAATGTCAGCAGTAGAGCTGGAAGAATGCAATGTAGTGTAGAGTCAAATCAGAGGCAGAATTCTCAGTTGGATACTGGACACTATATGCTCTGATGTCCTGCACAGTATTCTCTAAAATACTAGAGCTTGTTAATATTTATAGTCAAGTGAGCACATGTAAATCCAGAAGACGTGACCACATTGACACTGAATATCAGCGAGGCAGCCACTGGCTGCATCACGCTCTCCAGCCCCCTGTCCATTTTCCCGAGTCCCCTGCCCCCACTGCCTTCCACACACCCGCTGCCCCCAGCGGTGGGACCCCTGGGTCTGGGGGCCCAGTCTGAGAGCCTGCTCAGCCAGTCCTCCTCCTCCTGCAGAATTGACGTCTTCCTCCTGATGGGGCCGCCTATGCTCGGGGCCCATCCCTGTCCTCAGTTCCTTGTCCTAGCAGACTCTGCCTCTTTCTCCTGCCTTCAACCTCCCTCCCTCTCAGCGCCCCTTGGTGTTTGAACACTGAAAATCTCTTCCATATTTAAAAATTCCTCCCTGTATTTCCCAGAAGACTTCCAGCCTTTATTACCCAGGATGGTCTTACTTATGGTGCTGCTATATGTCAGGATTATAGTGATTGTTTTTTCAAAAAAGGAATGAGGGATGGATGGATGAATTACATTATATTACAAAATTGCTTTACCTGTTTTAAATATTATTATTCTGTTTAATGTAGCTTTTAAAATAATTTTCTCAGTGAAATCGAGTTTTATTTCTGTTCAAAGCTCAAGATGTATAAAACTCAAAGTGGCAGCTCCCTAATGTATTGTGAAATGTGTGACTATTGTATGAGCCAGCACTTTTGTGTGACACAGACACCATCACCTCCCTGTGGGCAAACAAAAACAGTAATCTACCTGACCCTGAGCTGCATCCTGAGCCTGGACCCGGAGCTGAGCCCTGAGGACTGGCCGGGTGGGAATGGCTGGGACCATCCATGGAGGGACTGAGCTCTTCTGGTCTCTGCTGACACTCTCCCTGCTCCCCAGCGAAGCAGAGATGAGCAGACTCTGAGTCTGTGATTTAACAGGGTTTAGAGAACGCCTCTTTCTTTGAAATCCCACTCCATACCGTATCTTACTATGTGAATCTTTACTGAACACTGGTCCAGACCTTTCTATCCTAACAAAGTGTAACCTATTTTTAAACATATTATCGTGTACCAACTTTGTATTTCAACTTATAAAATTCATTTGTTTTTTTTAATGTTGCTCTCATTTGTTTCCTACAGCCGTTACTTTGTAATATCCTTTCAATAAAGAAAAGAAATCACAGCCCACCCTATGTCCTATTCTCCTAATTTTGAAATAAACTTCCGCCTTCAAAGAGGAAAGTTGGCAGGTAGGACTTTATTCCTGTGCATGTTGTACCACAGGTCATAGATCACAGAGGGACTTCAAAGAACATTGAGCCCACATACTACTATATATAAGACAGGTAACCAGAAAGGACCTAGTGCACAGCCCAGGGAACTCTACTCAATATTCTATGATAACCTGTGTGAGAAATGAATCTGAAAAAGTGAATATATATATATATAAAACTGAATCACTTTGTTGTACACCTGAAACTAACACAAGATTGTAAATCAACTATACTTCAATATAATTTTTTTTAAGGCACAGATCACCTAAAATCACAATGGGGCAGGAGATGGGATGAGGGCTGGAATCTGTGGATCAAGGCAGCCAAGGGTGTCTGGGCCACTCTGACTCGTCCTGTGTGGAGTTGTCCAGGATGCCACCCCTCTCTGGCCACCCTCTCTAGCCATCTACACAGAAGACAGGTCTTCTCCCCTGGGTCACATTCCCACCACACTCCCCATCACTGTCCCATCAATGTGAGGAACATGGAGCTGTTTGTCAGGACATCTCTGAAGCTGCACCTGGGTGTCCTCTCTGCTGTGAGTGAATCTGGATTTAGATTCACAAGTAAGGCCATAAACTACTTGATTAATTTATGTTGTATCATTACTTTTAGGCACATTAGGATGGCAGGGACATCCATAGTCCCTGAAAGGGAAACAGAGACTGCATTTCCTTTTTCTGCCTCCTCACCTCTTCCTATCTTGGACTTCCCTGATAGCTCAGTTGGTAAAGAATCCGCCTGCAACGCAGGAGACCCCGGTTTGATTCCTGGGCAGGAAGATCCCCTGGAGAAGGGATAGGCTACCCTCTCCAATATTCTTGTGCTTCCTCTGTGGCTCAGCTGGTAAAGAATCCACCTACAATGCAGGAGACCTGGGTTCAATCCCTGGGTTGGGAAGATGCTCTGGAGACGGGAAAGGCTACCCACTCCAGTATTCTGGCCTGGAGAATTCCATGGATTGTATAGTCCATGGAGTCGCAAAGAATCGGACACGACTGAGCTACTTCCACTTTCACCTCTTCCTATTACAGTGATATTCTGTTCTGGAAGACTGCAGCTATCATGGGTTATATTAATAAATCATGGGTGAGTGTTAGAATGGCCTGGAGTCTTGATCTTCCTGTAATAGGAGCCAATTTTTAAAATATTTATTTATTTGGGCTTGCCAGTTCCTAGTTGAGGCACTGGTGATCTCAGATCTTTGTTGAGACATGCAGGCTGCTCGGCAGCCACGCAGAAACTCTCAGTTGTGGCTTGGTGATCTGTTCCCTGACCAGGGATCCAGCCTCATTCTCCTGCACTGGGAGTGGGAAATCTTAGCCACTGGATGACCAAGAATGTCCCCATGGACCGATTTAATGTCTCCATTTCAGGTGCATGACTCTTAGCCTAGACTTGGCAGTTAGAGCTGCCCAGAGCCCGTAGGAACTCTGCAGCCCAGAGTTAAGGCTGAACTGAGCCAGAGAGGGGAGTGGAAAGGGAGGAGCCTTGCTCTTGTTATGATTCAGGCTTGTTTCCCAGAGGGCACTGCCATCTCCCCTGAATAGTCAAGGGCTGATTCGAGGCAGGAACCAGGCAAGCCCAACCCAGGTGGCCCTAGTCTTCTAGGCACCCAGAGCTTGGCTTCCATTTCCTTCTGCTAAGAGACAGGAATAGTCCTCGCTCTGCCTGTCTGGGCCTGGGTCAGGGTCTGTGCCGGGGGTGGGACCGAAAAGAGGGGCTGGTGCTGCCAGGCCCGCCTTGACCCCTGGGTCACAGGATAAGTTTCAAGTCCAGCTGTCCTGAAGCTTCTGCACTCAGAGCATCATAACCTGCACCATGCCCATGATCCTGGGTTACTGGGACATCCGTGGAGTGAGCGGGGGTCCACAAGGGCTGGGAAGATGGAGGCAGGTGGGGAAATCCCGGGCAGTGGGACTGGTTCAACCAGAAGCTTCCTCAGGGCTTGCTGCAGCAGAGTCGCTTTCCTTAGCCCCACCATCTTACCTGGGTGTTGGCATGTGTCTGTAGGTGTGGGTGGGTGGGTGGGGGGCGCCCATGCAGGGTTGGGGGTGGTGGTGAAGGGAGAGGCTTGGGAGTGTGGAAGCGACATGGAGCAGTGAGACTCTGGCAGTCAAGACCTGACAACTGCCCTGTGTCCTGGCCTCTCTCTCAGCTGGCCCACGCCATCCGCCTGCTCCTGGAGTACACAGACTCAAACTATGAGGAGAAGAAGTACACGATGGGGGACGGTAATGGCATCCTGTTCATGTCCTGACTTCTGCCCAACTCATGCTGGTTTGGTGCCAAGCTGCTCATATCCTTGTCCTTGTTGCCTCTGTTGCCCTCCACCAGCTGGAGCAGAGGCCTGCCCCTTCCCAAACTCTTTGAGGGTGCAGCTGGCTTTCAAGGAAGGACATGAGAGCCCATAGCTAGGCCCTGTATCAGTCATGGGCTCCTGTTAGTATTGCACTAACTCTCTGTAAGCCTCACTCAGGTAGGTTCCAAATCCTTATAAGTGTGCTTTCCCCCAAAGCTCCCTGTGAGATTGGTGGTTCTGAATCCACATCCACCAGTTCAGGGAGTTTTGCCTCTGACTCTTCAGTGGGTCCCCTGGGAAGGAGGGCTGGGAAATTTGTTTCACTGTATGTTCTTTTTCTCAGCTCCCGACTATGACAGAAGCCAGTGGCTGAATGAAAAATTCAAGCTGGGCCTGGACTTCCCCAATGTAGGTGCAGGAGCTGGGGTCTGTGGGAAGAAGTGAACAGTGTCTCCATCCATTTCCTTCCCCGGCTTAGAGGTTTCAGAATCTGGTGCCTTCTGCTCTGTCTCTCAGCTTCCTGGTCCTCTCCCCTGCCCTTTTTATGATGTTCTGTGTCCCAGCTCGTCCCTCCATTTTACAGCGTATTATTTAGTGTCTACCATGGGCCAGGCTCTGTGAGTGCCAGGTTTCATCTCTACCCTTGGTCAAGGGAGGGGGTGCAGGGGAGTCTGGTGTTCCAAACACAGACTCCAGTGTGTTGCACAACAAAGGCCCTGTTGTTCTTCCAGTTGCCCTACTTAATTGATGGAGCTCACAGGCTCACCCAGAGCAATGCCATCCTTCGCTACATCGCTCGCAAGCACAACATGTGTAAGTGGGGCTGGGGAACACATGCCCTCTCCCCTGGGCTGGGCTGGAGTGGGATGCTGAGGGTGAGTCTCTGTTGTGTGGCCACAGGTGGGGAGACAGAGGAGAAGATCCGTGTGGACATTTTGGAGAACCAGACTATGGACGTCCGCTTGCACATGGCCAGGATCTGTTACAGCCCTGACTTTGTGAGTCCTCTCCCACTGGGCTGGGTTGCCCAGAGTTTAAATGCAAGACAGGGTCCCATCTACACTGGGCCTTTTGCTATTTGAACCACTTGGTTCTTTTGATCCACCAAGCTTGTCCCTACAGAGTCCCCAGGGTGACTCTCAGAACCCCCAGAACATAAAATGCAAATTCTAATTCCCACCAATCTTAGGAAGAGTCCAGCCTCCCCTGGGTGGAAATTCAATTCCTAGATGGTATTTACCTCCTTAGCCCAGGTCCTCCTTCCTGGCATCTTAGGGCTCAGGAAGTGTGTCTTGTAGGCAGCCCAGGGTCAGACTTTGTTCCTCTCCCTCCTTCCCTTCAGGCTCTCAAATTGTCTCCAACTGTCCAGAAACTGCCCAAGCGTCCACACCGTTCTTGTCTCCCACACTGGAATGTAGGACTTCTTTCCTAGTCATTTTAGTGTTGATTGGCCTAAGTTCTGAGGACCGAGCTCCGCCAGGTCCCACAGCACTGCTGGTCTGACCCAGCGCAGGTGTCTGGAGCTGAGTGGTGACAGGTTCAGGGAGAGTGTGGTTTTGCCCTTTGCTTTCCCATCGCCTCTCACAGATGGGAGGTGGTCCCCATAGGAGTTTAGTGAACACAGGTGGGTTGAATTGCAGCGTGGGCATGAACACAGGTGTAGTCAGAGGCCATTGCTGCTCACCCGCAGCTGGGATCAGACACAACCCTGGGAGGCCTGCACTCTGTCAGAGAGTCTGTGTCTGAGGGTGATGACAGCTGTTTTTTGTCTAGGAGAAACTGAAGCCTGGTTACTTGAAGGAGATCCCTGAAAAGATGAAGCAGTTCTCAGAGTTTCTGGGGAAGAGGCCTTGGTTCGCAGGGGACAAGGTCAGTGGGATGGCTTCAGAGGAGGGAGAACTACTATTTTTTCTTACTCAGAGTTTGTTGCACATTCATGCTTTGTCTTTCTGCAGCTCACCTTTGTGGATTTCCTGGCTTATGATGTCCTTGACTGGCACTGCATATTTGAACCCACATGTCTGGATGAATTTCCAAACTTGAAAGACTTCATTGCCCGTTTTGAGGTGATTCCCCTGGTCCTCCCAGTATTTACATCTCTCTTCTCTTCCCTCTACTTTCTGATGCTTCCCTAATTGGAACTGCAGTGAGAAATAGAATTTATTGAGAACTTGGTTTATTCCAAGATCTCTGCTCAGCAGCTGACATACATTGTGTTAGATTTAACTTTTATAACATTCCTACGGGGTAGAATGATTATCCTCTCCATCTTACTGATAAGGAATTAAGCTGAAAGTATAAGTAATTTCTGAAGGTCGCAGAACCAGTACAGATTGTGCTGGGCTCCCAGTCAGAGTGTCTGGCTTCTAGGGGCAGCAGTCAGTGGCTCTCTGTTTCTTGTATAAAATTGAAAAAAAGCTCAGGTTCTTTTGTTGACTGGGTTCACAGCTCTGGAAAGTGTGGATGAAGCAGAATCTTCAGGAGTTTGCATGCAGCTGGCATTTGTAGAGTTGAGACACAGGTCTTGATATGATATGAAGTAATAAAATGATATGAAGTGATAAAAACACAAACAGTATTTTATCCTGCTCTCCAGAAGGCTCTGTGGCTATTGGCTCCCTCTCTAGGGGTATACTGAGATTTTCAGGAATGTAATTGGTGCTGGGATTTTCTTCCATATATAGGTGCCTTCTTGGGAAGATTTTATAAGGATGCTTCTTACGATGGGCACTTTCCTTCCCTCCATGTCTTCCTTCTTTCTTTCTTCCACTTACCCAAGATTCCATCTCAGAGATGGGGTAGTGTGTCATTTTAAGTTATATTCACTGATCTGATCCTCTTCCCTGTATGAGGCACTATGTCAGGCATAGGGGGATGCAGAAGTCACATAGTCCTGTCACCCAGCTCTGGGGCTGAGTGCAGCTGGAGAGCTATGGGAACCCCGGGCTGTGTGGTGTGTGGGTGGAGCCACCTTGGTTCTGGAGGAGCGCAGTCTGACTGCACCTCCCAGCTCATCATTCGCCCTCAATCTACCAACTGGAGAGTAACAAAGTCTCTTTATGATGGATTTGGGAATCTGAAGCTTTAGTCCAATATGTTTTTCAGCCTACAATCTTGTTTTGTATTTCCAATCCCATCATGAAATCTGCTTCCTCAGCCAGTTCTCTTCAGCTCTGGTTTAGGTGCAAGGCTTGTTGCCCTGAGATTTTTGCAAGAACCGGATGACTGCCCAGCAGGGAGGATGTGGGACAGATGTGGGCTGCAGTATGTGGCCTGCTGGGGCCTGGGCTGTGGGGAACAGGCAGCCCTAGGTCTTTGGAGTCCTGGGAACTCTCGGGCACTGTTTGTTTTGGGAAGATGGTGCACAGGTGCACCTGAGCGTCTCACCGCGTGGTTGGCTGCAGCAGGACTGGGGATGAGGGAGGTTGGGGCTCAGTGAGAGTGGGCTCAGGTCCTGGGCCAGGCAGTTGGTCTGTGTGGCCTGGCCTAGTCTTGCTGCTCCACACCACCTGTCACCTTTCATCTACGTTTTGCTGGATGAGATCTGGTGTCTCTTTCAAGCTGTTTGTCTACTCTCTAAGCCCCTTTGTTGTGATTGGGGTCCACCTGTGGTCAAGCCCTGGGAAGCCAAGAGCTTCCTTCTGACAAAGAGAATTGTTTTGCAGAATGAGAAGAAGTTGTTCTGTAGGGAGATGTCGCCTGGGGAGTGGGGGGAGGAGACAATAAAAAACTACAATGTAAATGCAGTGAGTTTCAGTCTTATTTGGGGGTCTTACTGAGGACTTGTAGCCTATGTGACAGCCTCTCAGAGAGCTCTGAGTAACTGCTATGAAGAGGTAAGGTAGAAGACAGTAGATATATACATTATCACCTTGAAAATACATATAGTTGAGAATGAAAAATTTGTCTGCCAAAGGCAGTAAACAAAGGATGTTGCAACCATCAAGCCATTGCATTATAGTGTTCCCTGTGGTGGGCCGTGAGGGAATTCAGGATGGAAACCCAATACCCACCACCTAGCCATCATCCACTGCAGCCGTACCCAGCAGTGTACCCAGCAGAGACTCAGGATGGGAAAACACAGGATACTGGCCTCAGATAGTTGACGTACATATCAAAGTAATGATTTTAGTGAGCCCAGACTTTTGTAGCTTCTTATACACAGAATAGTGCTAAATTCATTAACTTGAGATGTCTGATTTTCTTTAATTAACAGTAATCTTTGGATATTCCAACTACTTGGTTTTGTTACAAAACTCCGATATATCCTGGCTCCTTCCTTACCTCTTCAAGCCCAGGAAGCAGCCTCTCAGATAGCTGTAAGGGACTGCTCTGAAGTCCTCAGAGAATTACAGTATAAAACATAATTCTCAACTTTTAGGTTGTGCATTTTTTCATGACATCGTCAAATATACATGTTGGTAAAAGATTGCTGCTAATCATCAAAAAACCAACATCTCAAGTTAATGATCTTAATGCTTTTCTATGTGTAGGAAGATGGGTAAATCTCGGGTCTTTGTAATTCTTCATTCAAGATGCAACCTAACTCTTTAGGGGACCCTGTGTCCAAAACACAGAATGTTTCATTCTGGTTTTCTCCGTCCTGAACTCCCTTTAAGGCACACAGTCTGTGATTGATTGCCGTGGGTTGCAGCTTAGTCCTTTTCTTAACCAGGTAGTGAGTGAGACTCTATTCTTTTTATTTACAGATTCTTTAGGCCATAAATTTGACCAAGGTTTGGGAGGCATTTCATCACCAATTTGTCCCATGGTGCTAGGAAGACTCATTTCTAGGTCAGACAACGATTTCATTGATAGGTCATTTCTATGCTATATCTGGACACTGTTAATATACTAAAACTTCTCTGGATCATCTGTCTTACTAACTAGTCTATTATGACCCAGGATATGTTTCCCTTTGTCACTTCTTCCCATATCTAGAGTTGCACCATTACGATTAATTTTATATAGAGCTGTGTGTGTGCTAAGTTGCTTCAACCGTGTCTGACTCTTTGTGAGCCCATGGACAGCAGCCTGCTAGGCTCCTCTGTCCATGGGGATTATTCAGGCAAGAATACTGGAGTGGGCTGTGAAGCCCTCCTTCAGGAGAGCTTCCCAACTGAGGGATTGAACCTACATCTCTTATGTCTCCTGAACTGGCAGGCCAGTTCTTTATCACTAGGGCCACCTGAGAAACCAATATGGAGGTATATATGTGATATATAGAGGTTTACCATCATTAATTTTATCAGAGACATGGCTGCACAGAAGGTAATGCAAGAAACAATAATCTTATAAAATAATTAAGGTATAAGTAATATAGCTAGTAACATTTTTAAGGTCACAGTACAGCAATGAAGGAAACAAAGCATGAATAATTTGAAAACAACAAAGAGAGAATAAATTAAAACAATGATTAATATAACTGGTTGCAGTCTAGATCACGAGAAGCCATCAAGTCCAGAGAGGGGCCAGCTGGAGAGGCCAAATGCTGTAGGGATTAGATAGAAAGAAAAAGATAAATACTCCATCTTTGTTTGCAAAGGTATACTTTCTCAACTTGCTGCAAGTTATAGTAGGCGTAAGAGGAAATGTTTCCTCATATCCAGAGAACAAAGATTAAAAGCCAGCAATATTTCAAACAGCCATAAAATTATAAATTCAGTTCATTCAGTGCCATGGAATTAAGTCTTGTTGACCTTGACTTTTTTTTGTTAGTAGTTTTATTAAGCCATCAGGTTTTCCATTTACAGTTTTGTAAGTTTTTCACTCAGTTCAGTGGAATTATTTAAAAGTTACCAAAAATGTGTATTTGTAAAAACATCCTTTTTATGAATCTTCAAGATCTACATTCTTTTAAAAAGAATCAGAGTACAACAATCAGTTTAGTTCAGTTCAGTTCAGTCGCTCAGTTATGTCCAACTCTTTGCGACCCTATGAATCATAGCACGCCAGGCCTCCCTGTCCATCACCAACTCCCAGAGTTGACTCAAACTCATGTCCATCGAGTTGGTGATGCCATCCAGGCATCTAATCCTCTGTCATCCCCTTCTCCTCCTGCCCTCAATCCCTCCCAGCATCAGGGTCTTTTCCAATGAGTCAACTCCTTGCATGAGGTGGCCAAAGTATTGGAGTTTCAGCTTCAGCATCAGTCCTTCCAATGAACACCCAAGACTGATCTCCTTTAGGATGGACTGGTTGGATCTCCTTGCAGTCCAAGGGAGTACAACAATAACTGCCCATAAATGTCAAAAGACAAATGATCTGATTACAATATAACTGTCAGTGAAATTTGGTTATTTCTGTGACATACAAAATTTTAATACAATAACTAGAATTATAACACATAAGATGCCAGGACATTTTTAGTAATTTTATATAATAATAATTACCTATATAGTATAATCTAAAAGTGTTAATTATAACTCATTTGACAACATTTCCCATGTTACCTAATATACTGAAAAGTGTAATTAATATCTCTTTTTTGAGTTATTTTAGGGCCCTCTGAAGCATTCCAAAGTGAGTTAGATGTCAAAAGAACTTCGTTTAGAATTTGACTTGGGGAAGGTTTGTCAAAGATATCAAGTTTTTAAAGCACTTGATAAAGTAGGATCATAGGTCCCAGTAAATACTTATTCATTAACCAAAGAGACAGTAAAAGATTTTAAAGTCAAAATATGTGAAATTATAACAGATCACTTAAGAGGTAAAGAAACGTTTTACATTGTTACCAAAAGATCAATATTTCAAGAAAACTTTGTCCTCTCAATGGAAAGAAAAATCAGATTGTAGTTTTGCACCACCTGACATTTAATACTGAGCTTTATTTGCTTAGTTAAACTCATTCTAATCTTAGCCAGACTGGACCACACATAGAATTCCTTTCTAAAGTTATCTTTTCTTTCTCACAAGCCTTTTACAACTTTCTATATCCATATTAGTTTGTCTCTCATTTTCTTTCCCATTTAGAAATAACCAGCTTTTTAAAAAAAAAAAAAGGAAAAAAGAGAAATAATCAGCTTTAGCACAAAATCACTTTCTTTTCCCTTAACAAAGTACATTTCCATTTTATTTTTAAATTGAA